GTAGTAGCATACAATAGCATCCAAGATAAATGTAACTGAAAAATCCCAATATATTTATTTAACATGTGAACTCCTACAAAGATAGTCAAATTGATACTAATACAGAATCTGTAAAAAATAATGGTTTTCCTACTCTTTCTCTTTGGACCCTGAGTCACTTGTATTCTATTCTTTTATGCATTTACCTACAGGAAAACATTTTTATACAAGCCAATGTGAAAGAATCACACTTTCTGTTCTTTATTTTGTCTCTTCACCAGGATATTGATGTGCTATTTTAAATAGTAAGTTTTCTTGATGGTAAAAACCTGGAAGTCCTGGAAAGAGAAAAGCCTGCATGAGCAGGCCCCAAGAAGAACCAGGCCATCTGGACTCAAACACAGCACTTCAAGTCAGCCCACCCCAGCATCTACTTTATCTGTGAGGGGCTGGAACATGTAGAGGAGTTGGTCTTGTAGAATTAGAGGCAGGAGCATGTCATCACCATCCAAGATGAACACCTGAAGCATGGCTATGTTGAAGAAAGTCGGGGACACAGCACTTGTCCTAGGACTGAGGAGCATCCTGAGAGATACATGGAGGTTCCAAGTGGAGATGAGGAGGCAGAGGTAGTGGAGGAATCTGAAAAGCTGGTAATGTCACTGGAACAATGGAACAACTAGAGAAGTGCAAGTCCTATGAAAAGATGCTTTATAAAAAATGGAACCATGAAACTTGAAGGAAAAATTCCAGAACGGAGCTGGTAGTGGAGAGGAGAAAATGGTGAAACTACAGATGTGGTGAATGAAGGCTATGGTAATGATATCGGAGCGTGGCTGCAGTGGACAAAGAACATGAGTATAGTTAGTGAACATACCATGGTGCGACATGCTTCCCCCTATGCTTACTATGCTGGGAGAATCAGAGCAAGGGCCCACTGTGCTACCTGCAGGCTTCTACTACAGCAGTTGTGCCTAGTGAACCTCAGGTAGCATCATGGCATCTCAGATTTGAAAACTGTATTGTAATAAAAACCTTGTCCTTTTGGAACTCAGTAGGTTTTATGCAAATCTCTACACAATTTCAAAAAGAAAGATGCTTCGCTTCTCAACCACTACAATGACAAAGCTTCCTGATAAAATCAGAGAGCTTCATTTATAGAAACAAAAACTGTAAATAGGAATGATTTCAAATACATGACCTCTCACACAATATTTCTTTTCTGAAAGACCTTAAAGGAAGGAGGCACCATTTCCTCACTTCCTCTGTTACTTTTAACAGGCTTGCAGCAAACACAAGCATACAATGTTTAGATAACGTTTTCACTAATTAACCTGAAATGAAAGTATACATATTGTTTACAGAGTTGACAATAAATATAACTGAACACCCACTGTGCTGCTCCAGGATCCAGCTGGTGATTATAAGCTTTTATGAATAGCCAATAAAACTTAATAGATATCATTTCTAGTGCTTTACTCCCAGAGCCACAATAGAGAAAAAATTAACCCACTTTGAAAAGACTATGACATCATTTACCATATATTACCTTGAAAATATAGATACTCATTAGTAATCTCTATGAAGGGCAAAACAGTAGCTAAAGCCATGGAGGTTAGACAGTGTGGCAACCAAAGAGGATTGTGATTTTTTTTCTGCAAAACTCTGAGATCTTACTAAATCCTCCTGAATGACTTCTGTCTTTGTGATCCTTAGCCTATATTTTATTATTTAATTACAAAGATGGTTAGGACACCATGCAAACAGAATAGAGAACTACTCCTTATTTTTATAATTTAAACATAGACTAGTTTGATAATATTCCTCATTTGAGTAATGTTCAAGTTACACTTACAAATGAAAATAGTGATCTTATTTAAATGAGTCTTACTAAATTCTGACACTTTTTGATTCTTACTGTATTTCTGACAGAAGAATTGATATACATACTCTTGTTTTATAAAAGTCTATAATTCCTTCTTAAAATTTTGTTCTATTTGAAAAATTACAATGTACCAATATTCAATCATCTTGTGGTAATATAACCCTGCCCCTTTGCTCTTACTTTAGCCACTGATACCACACTTCATTTGACAGCAAAACATAGAACAGAAGCAGCAGACACGTTGAATTGCAAATGAAAAAGGAAGAAATAGCTTCAATCACATTATTAAAATTTCAAGATTTCTCAGCAGTGTTCTCTCTCCTTTAAATTTAGCACCATCAAGAGAACTTAATAGCTAACATAGTTATTATCATAAAACCAACAGTGAGGAAAACAAAACTATGAAAGTAAATATATTTATTTAATTTAATTACATTATTGCATTTCCTTTGAAATGAACTTTAGCTAGAAACCAAGACTGAATAAACTGTCTTCCTGTGCTCTCTAGTTGGGGAATATTTGTCTCTTATGTATCATAAGCACCTTTTTGTAAATGAAATTTCAAGAGGGTTTAATGTCTTCTTATCAATTATAAATATTATATTTATTTGGATAGCTTCATTGTAAATAAAGATTATAATAAGATGACTTTTTGTGGATGCCACCTAATTTCCTCCAATAGTGTGATGGATAATATCAACTATCTACTTGACTAAATCTATAGTCACATAACAGAGAAGCCTCTGGACTTGCCTGTGACAGGTTATCTGAATTTGGTTAACTTCTGGTCATGTGCATAAGGAGTTGTATGAATTATGTTAATTGAAGTTGGGAGACTTACTTTATATGTTAGCTTATGTCTTTTCATTGAATAATTAAGTCCATTCATATTGGGATATATTAAAGACCAGGTGTTTGTTAATTCTTGTTGGTGACTGTGTGTGTGTGTGTGTGTGTGTGTCCTTTTAGTTTTGCTTGAGTGAGGTTATTTATTTCATGAGTTTTCTTGGGTATATTTAGCCTCTTTGTGTTGGAATTTTTTCTTCTCGTATCTTCAGTAGGGTTAGAGTTGTAGATAGATTTCATTAAAATTTTTTTCAGGGAATATCTTGTTTTGTCCCTCTATGGTGATTGAAAGCTTTGTTTAGTGAAATAGTCTAGTCTGGTATCCTTTAGAGACTGCAAGACATCAGCCTAGTCCCTTCTGGCATTTAGAGTCTCTGTTAAGAAGTTGAGTATAATTCTGAGAGATCTTCCTTTATATATTCACTTGGCCTTTTTCCCTTGTAGCTTTTATTTGTTTATTTTTTGATCTGTACATTTAGTATTTTCATTGTTATGTGATGGGAGGATTTTCTTTTCCAGTTCAATCTATTTGGTGTTCTATAAGCTTCTTGTATGTTTATAGGCAATTCTTTCTTTAAGTTAGGGAACTTTCTCTCTATGATTTTGTTGAAAATATCTTCTGGAATTTGAGCTGTGAATATTCTCCTTCTTCTACTTCTATTATTCTTAGCTTCTTTGGCAGAGGTTGGTGGCTTACTTGGTGTCTGTGGTGTTGGCAGAAGTTCAAGAAACTTTGCAGAGTTATGTGGTAATAAATAAAGCACAGGTTTTGAGGTATAGTTTACCACTGTTAAGAGTGCTTTCAAGGAATTGGCTGATAGAGGTTTAGGTGGGGGAGGGTCATAACAATATTCTAAACCATTTGTCAAAATGTTGGATGTCTTTTCTCCATTAAATCACTATTTAACAAATAAGTTAAAGTTGCCTACGGATGTCTAGGTTTGTTTTTCAATTCAGTTGTTGTTTCATTGATCTGCTTTTTCTTTCCTTTGGGAAAAAACTCAGTCTTCATTTCTGTAGCTATATAAGCTTTGAAACTGGATAAAATGATTATATACTGTTCTTTTAAATGATCTATTTAGCTATTCTAGTTGTTTTGACTTTTTCTAGAAATTATTAATAATCATGAATGTATCCACATAAAATATTGCTGAAGCAGTGATATATTTTCTGAAATTCATAAACAAATTTGTGAGGCATTATCTATTCTGCACTGAGTATTTCATTTTGAGCATGAAGTGACTTTAAAATCAACTGATCATTCAAAGAAGAAATAAATGCATACCATATGGCATATGCACAGAGAAGTGCTATTCAGCCTTTAAAAAAGAATGAACAACTGAAATCCAGGCAATTTTAGCAAAATTTATTAAGTGAAATAAGTTAGGCAGAGCAAAGCAAGTATCATATCTTCTCAATTATATGCAGATGCTAAAAACATTGACATTGTCCTGTAAAACATACTTGGGCCATTGTACATCAATGTTTGATATTCAGTGCTGCTTGTAAAGACCTAGAAATGCAGAACAGTAAAGTGATCCAAAGAGTCATTTTAAAGTCCTTTTCCTGCAAAATATTTTAAAAGAGGCTAATTTTTTTCTGATATGGGATAAAATCCCATAAATTTTTAAGTGATATAAGTGAAGGGTTCTAGCATTATACAATGTGGAAAAATTAAATAATAATTTCTTAGTACTTGTGAAATGTAATTATCCTGCCCAAATATTATACTCAGGGTATTTTTTTTTTAGAAGAAATAACCTTCTTAATTTATAGACAATCTATGTTTCTATAAATAGATTTCAAATTTCAGACTTATAACTACAATTATAATATTTGGGTCTGGTTGGTTGATAATGTTGATAATAATTATCTACTATTATAATATAATAATATAATCAACTATAATTTATATGATTCTATTTCTTCCTTCCTTCCTTCCTTCCTCCCTTCCTTCCTTCCTTCCTTCCTTCCTTCCTTCCTTCCTTCCTTCCTTTCTTTTTACAGGTTGTCAATTTTTTCTTATATATAGCATTTCCTCTAAAAATTGTTTGTATTAGGAGAATACACGTTTTTGTACAAATGCTGACATTGTACATTCATAGTTAGATATTCAATACCAAAAGTGAATATGAATTCTAGGGGTAAGGAATAAAGAATTAAACATAGAAGAATACAATCTTAAAATTAATTCAACTTTGACCAGTCTTATATCAAATAGTTTTTAGAAAGAACATATTATAATATCAAAGGTAGGTGCTAGGGTCAACACCAAAGAAACTTGGCAGTGATGTTCATGTCTCTCGGAAACATTTGCTGGTCACCCATTACAGAAGGAGTTTTCAGAAAATTGGTAACTTATAAAATGGTTTCAGATAACTGGGCCATTGACAGCAGTACCTTTTCTAACTGGAATGTGGGCCAGTCCCTAGTCCCAAGAGCTGTAGGCTGCCAGAAGAAAAGACAGATTACAACAGACTTTGTCACATTCGATTATATATTATGTATGGATGAAAACAATCTGAGAGATTTGAATAGAAAACATAATAAAGTTAAAAACTGCAAAGCTAAAGTTGAACTACTTAGGAGCTGTGATCCACAGGAAGAACTCTTTATTGAAGTTCACTATTATGGCAATGATTCTGATTCACCTTTTTTCCTTTTTGTATTGGATATTTTATTTATTTATATTTCAAATGTTATCCCCTTTCCCGATTTCCTCTCTGGAAACACCCTATTCCATCCTCTCTAACCATGGCATTACCCTACACTGGGGCATTGAGCCTTCACAAGACCAAGGGCCTCTCCTCTCATTGATGCCCAACAAGGCCACCCTCTGCTACCAAAGCTGCTGGGAACATGGGTCACTCCATGTGTAAAATTTGATTGGTGGATTAGTCCCTGGGAGCTCTGTGGGGATGGGTCTGGTTGGTTGACAATGTTGTTCTTTCTATGGGGTTGCAAACCCCTTCACCTCCTTCAGTCCTTTCTCTAACTCAACCATTGGGGATCCTGTGCTCAGTCCAACAAATAGTTGGCTGCAAGCATCTACCTCTGTATTTGTCAAGCTCTGGTACAGCCTACTAGAAGACACCTATATCAGGTTCCTGTCAGCAAGTATTTCTTGGCATTGGCAATAGTGTCTGGGTTTGGTGCCTGTATATAGAATGGATCCCCAGGTGTGGCATTATCTCAACGGCCTTTCCTTCTCACTCTACTCCGTACTGTCTTTCCATGTTTCTTTTAGATAGTAGCAACTCTGGGTTAAAAATTTGGAGATAAGTGAGTGGTCCCATATCCCACCCCAGGGGCCTTGCTTAACCTCTGGACATGTTCTCCACAGGTTCTGTCTCCTCTTTGTTGAGCACTTCAACTAATCTCACCCCCATTGGGTCCATGGAGCCTCTTGTTTTCCTGGCATATGGGACTTGCTGGTGGCTAACCTTAGCTCCTCATACCCCAATGCTGACCCTGTATCATCACTGTCTCTACTCATACCTGATCCTACTCCCCTTTCCCCCTTCTCCCTCCTCTCTTCCTGCCAAGTCCCTCCTGTAGGGGAAAAAATTAGAGGCCACTGAAAGGATTCGAGCACAGTTTGGACAGACAACACCAAAGCCGATCC